ACAAATGAATGTTTTGGGTCCTCTCGGACACCCATCCCAGTGCCCAGAGCTACCAGTCAGGATGCAGAGCCACCCAGGAATGTTCTCCCTTCATGTATTTCCTTACCTGCCAACAGAGTGTTTGCTGGAATAAATTAAACCAAGGATGTAAACTATTGTAGAGGTTATCTGTATTTATTTCTGTATAACAATGCACCCCAAACCTAGTGGCTTGAAACAACAATAACTCATTTCATAATTTTAGAGTTGGCCAGCTCTTCTGGGTGGTAGCTCTTTCCATTCAGGATCAGCCAGGATTGTGCATGAAGCTGCAGTCATCTGGAGTCTCCTCGGGGGCTGGATGAAGCAAGATGGCTTCGTTACAAGTCTAGTGGTGGGTGCTGGCTGTTGGCTTCATCTGGTCTCCCCAGAAAGGCAGCCAGACCACTTTACATAGCAGCCCAGGTTTCCACGAATGTGAAGTGAAGCTGACAGCTTAAGACTGAACTCTGGCACTCACACAGTGTCACTCAGGCAGAGCCACTTGCTATTGGTCAAAGCCAAGCATAAAGCCAGAATCAAATATGGTAGTGGATTTAACTGCCATTTTATTAACGAGACAAGTAAGTAGAGATTCTTTGGTCATTTTAAATTCTTCACAAAGATATTAAATAAAATGCCATCTACAAATTGCTTCATATCTGGCACAAAGCAAATTATTTCAGAATGTTCCTTGTTCTTGTAATTGTTATTCATCATTAACTTTTCTCTCCTGAATGAAAAACACTTTTTCCTGGGTATGAAGGTAGGTGATTTTTTTTTATTTAGAAGAACTAAAAAGTTGATCAAATTACGTAAGACCAAATAAAACAAACAAACAAAAGTCCATGCAGTATTCTTTGAACTAACCTGAAAAATATGTGTTATTTAAGAATTTGAGTCAGGCATGGTAGCACATGCCTGTAATCCTCAGCAATACAGGAGGCTGAGGCAGGAGAATTGCAAATTCAAGGCCAGCCTCAGCAACTTAGTGAGACCCTGTCTCAAAATAAATAAAAATTAAAATGGGCTATGGATATAGTTCAGTTGTAGAACACCCAAGGTTCAATCCTCAGTACCACACACACACACACACACAAAATTGAAATGCTTTAAAGAAAATGCTTGGCTGAAAGGTAAATTTAGTAAACCCAGACTAAGGAGAAAACTAAATAAAATGGAATGAAATTTTAAAAGTGTCCCACTCACAAAGTTCAGAAGATTTTTCTTTAAAGCATTGCCCCTCTCTTTTTGTTTGTTTGTTTATTTATTTTTGTTTGTTGCTTATTTAAGGTACTGAGGATTGAACCCAGGGGCACTCTACTACTGCGCTGCATCCCCAGCCCTTTTTATATTCTCTTTTGAGACAGGGTCTTGCTAAGTTGTTGAGTATTTCACAATGTAGCTGCTGAGACTGGCCTCAAATTTAGATCCTCCTGCTTCAACCTCCTGAGCCACCAGGATTGCAGGGGAGTGCCACTGTACCCGGATTTTCTTTTGTACTTAATCTGATTTTTGATCTTTGACTTTTGCTTTTTAGGAGTTAGGGAATAAAATTCCAGCACAATGTCCCTCCCGAGAGACAACAATTCAGCTAAAGTTGGTAGGACACCATCATTTCAGAGATATTCGGTATGTATTTAAAATCCTATGATATTGGACACAGGAAATGAGATTTAAGCATTATAAAAAATCTAGATTATTGACTATTCATTAACATACCTGGGAGCCATAAGGAACACCAACATTTTATTTCAGTGACTTAACTTTTTTTTTTTTTGTCCCAGCAAAACATAGCTCTTCCAAGAACAGGTGAGCCTAGATGTTAAATTGTTTTCCTAATGATGTTAATTAGTTTTAATGAGCCATTTGGTAACTTTAGTTCATGTTGTATTTATTGTTCTTGGCAATAGATCTGACTGTGATTAAAAGGAAACTCTGCAATTAGACCCAAATTTTGGCTCTAACATGAATCTATGGCTTCTTTAACCTTCTAATTGAATGACCCAAAAAACTTCCTCTGAATGATAGAATAATTGAGAGAACAGTTGAGAAAATACAAGTCCCTTCCTTCCTTCCTTTCTTCATTTCTTTCTTTCCTTTTATAGGGGAAAATCTTATTTTTGCCCACATTTTCAGAGGTCTCAATTCATAGGCAACCAACTCTATAAGTCTGGACCCAAAGTGAGGAAGAATATCATGGCAGAGGGTATGGTCAAAAAAAAAAGCAACTCAGAATATGGCCACCAGAAAACAGAAAGAGCTCCTTTCATCAGGGACAAAATATAAACTTCAAAGACATGCCCCCTGGGACTTACCTCCTCCAACCACTCCCCACCTGCCTACAGTTACCACCCAATTAATCCATATCATTGGATTAATCCACCAATTGGGTTATAATTCTCATAATCTAATCATTTCACCTCTAATATTGTCTCTCACAGGAGCTGTTGGGGAACATTTCACATCAAACTATATTCCATCCCTGGCTTCCAAAAGCTCATGCCCATGTCATAATGCAAAATACATTTAGTCCATTTCCAAGAGTCCCCATAGTCTTAAAATGTTTCAGAACTGCCCTAAGGTCTCTGAGACTCAAGGCAAACTCTCAGATGTTTTGGGGAAGGGAGAAAACTCTCAGATATTTTCTCCTTTCCCCAAATGGAGAACTAGGGGTATCCAAGGAAAGGATGGGACAAAAGTAGACTGAAATCTCATTGGGCAAACAATCCTTTAGCTCCACATCCAACACCTGGGGTACATGGCAATGTGGTGTTCTCTCCAAAGGGCTTTTGTAGCCCTGTCCCAGTGGTTTATTTGCAAGCAAATGGGCTGTTTCTTGGCTGGTCTCTGCTCAATTACTGTAGCTTTTCTAGGCAGACGTCCCATGGTACTGGTATCTCTTAATGCCACAGTTATCCACTGAAGTTTCAACTTTCTTCTCACATCCTTTATTTATTTATTTATTTATTTTAGTTGTAAATGGACACAATACCTTTATCTTATTTATTTATTTTTATGTGGTACTGCATATCAAACCCAGTGCCTCACACATGCTAGGCAAGTGCTCTACCACTGAGCTTCAGCCCCCACTCTCTTCTTACATCTTGATGAGTCACCATTGCAGGGCAGCCCTCAGGGACTCCAAACTACACTTTGCCTGGCCTTCCAGATCTTCCTTTGAATTCTCATTGGAAGCCTCTATCATTCCCTAATTTCAGCATTCCTGCAGAACTAGCACCACGTGGTTGATGCCAAAGTCTGCCTCCATCTCATGCAATAGCCAAGTCTCTTGGGACCATGCTGCACCAGCCTCTGAGTACATGGGTAGCTGAACATGGTGAAACAACTTCCTAGGCCTCCCTGTGCAAGCAGAGTTCTCCACTGGTTTCTTCTCAAATAAAGTTTTACTTTTATATCCTTGAGCCTGAGATGGCTACGGTCTTATCAATTCCTGAGCTGCCTTCAAGCCATGTTTCCTAGTATCTCTTGGTAAATTATTTAGCATTTCTTTAGTTGCTGTAATTTCTTTAACAACCACACCTTCTTTAGCCCCAGTTTTACTCTAAATTTTCTAGCCAAACTTCAAGTTTTTGAAATATTTCTGTTCTGCTTTCTGATGGTGATTATCACAGTAAACATAGCTAGAAGCCACCAGCAATATCCATGCCACCACCTGAATGCTGGGCTGCCTTGAAATTTCCTTTGCCAGATCAATTAGTTTTCCATTTCCTCTAAAACCTCATGATCCCTGTCTTTACTGTCCCCAGTTTTATTGGCATTCTGGTCTTTTGAACTCTCACCAGAATCACCCATAAGCTCTGCTTACAACAATCTAAAGCTTTTCCAACTTGCCTCTCTGAACTTTTGAAAATTCCTCCCCCCTTTTAAATGTTCGTAGCAGAACACGACAGTCACTAGTATGGCAATATGTAAATCAATGGATGTGTAATTGATGTGATTCTGCAATCTGTATATGGGCTAAAAATGGGAGTTCATAACCCACTTGAAGCAAAGTGTGAAAGATGATATATCAAGAACTATGTAATGTTTTGAACAACCAACAATAAAAAAAAATAAATAAAAATAAATGAATTCCAAAGGCTTTTGAACCCTATGGGCAGGTTAGTCACAGGAATAACCCCACTTCTCCAAACCAACTTGTGTTTTTAGTCAGCTTTTTGTTACTGTAATAATAACAACACAGAGGAGGAAAAGTTTATTTTGGCTTTTATTTTCAGAAGTCTCAGTCCATAGGTGGCTGACTCGATAGTTCTGGGCCCAAGGTAAGGCAGAACAGCACAGTAGAAGAGCATGGTTGAGGAAAGCAGCTCAGAGAACATGGCCACCAGGAAGCAGAGGACCCATTTTTTTCAATATAGGATTTTATATGGGAAAGGATACTCTGAAGAATCATTGTTTTGTTTTGTTTCGTTTTGTTAGCTAACAATTATTCTCACTAACGTAACCATTTGTTTGGTAAAATATTCCTGTGACTTACAACAATTACAGCTTCCTTTGCATGTATTTCTGAGCCCCTTGGACACCAGGGTGAAGCTTTAATATCTAGATGATCAGGCTCCTTTTCTTCCTTAAAAGAAATACACCATTATTCAAAACCAGCAAAAGCCACAGCCACCCTCAACTATCTTTCATGTTCCCTCAATAGAATTTTGGATTGGGAAAGATCCCAAATACATTCAAACCCAAATCTAGCTATCTTATTTCACAATTCAGTTTAAGTGATGTGTCTAAATAATACATTTTTGTGGGAATGAATCTGAGATTCAAGCTTCTGCTCTCTATTCCACATTGCCACCTGGATTTAATTTAAGCAAAGATATCTTCCAAAAAAAAATACTTCTATTGTTATGGTTATTTGTTATCATCCTTATTCTAGGACTTGGGTCTATCAGTTCATTACATTTTCATCTATCCTATGACTCCCTTTACACTCCTTTTTTTTGTTGTTTACTCCACAGCTGCCCGAATTATATGCATCAGTTGAGAATTTTAGGAAGAACAGAAAGAATTCAATTCTCCTAAAAACTCATGGCATTTCACCTAAGGAAGCACAGAAAATACTTAGTAAAAACCTGAATGAAAGGTCATTCATCAGCAAAACTAGTGTGAAAGAAGACCCCCAGTCTATTTTCATGTATACAGTGGGTAAAAAAGAGGTTGAAAAGAAAGAATCCATAGTTGAGCTTCTCCACCGCAGCTTACTAATGGACCCACTCCCTCCAAAACCGCCACCCTCCAAGTCCCAAAAAAGACTGGCTCAGATTGGGATCCCTCCTCCCATACATACATTTCCTTATAACATTATGGATGATCATTCCAGCGCTTTCCCGAAGTCTACCATTATTAAGAAGATTCAGAGCATCAAAATATTAGGCTTTCCTGATTCCATCCAAGAGAAGATGATCTATGAAGACAAAGTTCCCAGATACGTTTCAGCAAACCCAGGTAATCCAAACAGATGAAGCCACATGGGAAAAAAATAGAAATAGTCAAATATTGACCCATAAAACATGGATGTTCTATGTTCATAGATATATCTTTTGTTGCCTAGAATGGCAATGAAATGCATAAGAGAGAATTAAAAATTCCAGGGTCAACTGGCATTGTGGCATACACCTATTATTCCAGTGACTCAGGGGGCTTAGACTGGAGGACTACAAGTTTGACGACAGCCTCAGCAACTTAGAGAGACCCTGTCTCATAAATAAATAAATAAATAAAAATAAAAATGGCCAGAGATATAATTTAGTAGTAAAGCACCTAGGATTCAACTCCTAGTACCCCTCCCCCCCAAAAAAGAAAAAATTCCAGGGTCAACTTCCAGATTCATTCATAAGAGGGTGTTATTTAGACAGGCCACTTAAATTTTCCTTTACAAAATGAGTCAGTTAAGGGCTGGAGTAGTGGCTCAGTGGTGGAACACTTGCCTGGCATGTGTGAGGCTCTGGGTTTGATTCTCAGCATCACATACAAATAAATAAATAAAGTGAAAAAAAAATCCATTGACAACTAAAAAATATTTTTTAAAAATGAATCAGTTAATTAGTCAGGTGTAAATGCTACAATACCCATAACTACTTATTTCTTACTACATGAAATTAGTAGTAGAGTATTATCTTTTTCAAGTATCTTGGCTTTGGTACCATTTAGGGATTTTTAAAAATACATTTATTTTATTTACTTATCATTTTTATATGGTCCTGAGAATCAAACTCAGTGCTTCCCACATGCCAGGCAAGTGCTCTACCACAGAGCCACAGCCCCAGCCCCAAGATTTTTTTTTGTTTTACGACAAAATCTTTAACCTTTCATTATTGTAATATCTCTGTCAGGACTTTCAACAGAGACCACAAACAGCAGAATGAAACCTTCATTTCTGATTCTTTAGTAGAGAGATGCCCATAAAAGGTCAAAGACAACACAGAGTACATTAAAAATACATAAAACATAGGATGCTAAATTTTAATGAGGAAGGAGTGCCATATTTCAGGTCTCCATTTTCCTTATGTTATTCACAGGAGTGGGGCTGGTGGTGTAGCTCTGTGGCAAAGCACTAACCTAGCATGCACACAGCCTGTGTTCTATCCCCAGTTCCAGGAGGAAAAAAAAAGCATGATGCAATATTTTATCATTCTATGCAGCTATTAAAATAAATTAAATAAATATTTGAGTCCCTCCAAAGTAGGTTCTTGGTAAGATAAATAGGTTTAAGATAAGACAATTTTCACAGCAAATATTTTGACACAACCACTGTTATAATAAAAACAAAAGGAGCACATTTAGTATAGTAGATTGACTAAGCATATGAGGTCCAAGGAACTGAAAGAGTTTTTGTTTAACTCCCTATGTCATCTTGACAGAGCCTAAGGCAGAGCTTGAATTTCTCTGATAAATTCAAACTAGAGCCTAGGAAATTGTAGTGATGGCTTAGGTCATCCACAAAAGCACACAGGTCTGAAGCCAGAAAGAAAAAGTATGGAAAGTATTGTGAATCAGTAAGAATTGGCCAAAAGTCTACTGCAGTAGGGCTCTGAATGTTTAATAGGGTTTTGAATTTTTTCTGACTTTGTCACCCACAGTGGATAGAGTTATCCTTTCTTCCTAAAGAATGCCCTGCCTGCTGTTCACCTAAATTTCATGGGTCTCTAATGTGGCCTCCCAGAGTCTGTCCTCTGTTTCAAAGACCTTATTTCTTGTCAGGTGCTGTGGCACAACCTGTAACCCAGCAGCTCGAGAGGCTGGGGCAGGAGGATGGCGAGTTCAAAGTCAGTCTCAGCAAAAGCAAGGTGCTAAGCAACTCAGTGAGACCCTGTCTCTGAAATACAAAATAGGGCTGGGGATGTGGCTCAGTGGTCGACTGCCCCTGAGTTCAACCTCCAATAACTGAACCCAACCCGCCCACCCCCCTAAAAAAAAAGACCTTTTTTCCTTGAGATCCTGGAGGTAAATCTCTGGAACTTGTCCTGTCCAAGGAATATGCATAAAGCCAGGTAGGCATCTCTATGAGGGATCTCCAATAATTCCTTAGGATTAATTGGTACTGCAGCAATTCACCTTCATTCTTACTCAGTATAGAAGAATTTCATGGATCCTGATATGTCAGATAATACTACAGGACATGTAGTCCTACTAGTACCAAGCATTGGTGGAGCAAAAGGGAGTGGGTATTGCCAGTTTTCTCTTCTCCTATTATGGGAGCTCCTCTTGCTCAGGCTAAGTCCTATAGAACTGTGTAAGTTAGGAATGTGTTTGGCCAAAAATAACACAGAAACCAGATAAGGGATACTTTTCTTACATAATTAAATGTCTGAGACAGATAAACAAGAGCTACAGCCATGCTTTTAGGTGTCACCTTGGACCCAGGCTCTGCCATTGTTTTGTATGTAGCTTCTATCTTTATGTCCAAAAAAACATCTCCTTTATCATCAGATGCTACCACAACCCAGGCAGGAAGAGGTGAACTAGAACAAAGGGCCAAATTTGTACTTCTGTCCGTGTGTGTGTGTGTGTGTGTGTGTGTGTCTGTGGTGGTGGTGGGCATTGAACCCAAGACCTGATGCATGCAAAGCACACACCCTACTACTGAGTTACAATCCCAAGTCCATATTTTCTTTTCATATGAAAGCAAAGTTTTCCTAGGACATCCCTCTTCAGAGGTCTTTTGCTAAGCAAGGTTAATGACAGAACCCTTGGCTTCCCTTTTTATAGCAGAAGGAAGCAGAAGAGGGTTGTAATGAGTTTGGAGGAAGACAACCTATGGTATCGACCAAGATCATGATATAAAGCTCTTTACTAATACAAATCATCATCTCTAGGTCCGTCTCTTGCTAAATATCCCTTCCTGTCCTTTTCTACCTTCTCCTATTCTTGCCATACCAGGTCTGTGATGATCTTGTCAACTCCCTGGAATTTGGTGATTTAGCCCCTAGGGACTGACAGTTGACAATGTGGCAGCTCCAGTGTGTCTGTTCCCTTGGGGAATAAGGAATAGTTCTGGCATCTGTCTTCTACATATATGGAACATACACAAAGATTTCCTATCAGATGGGCACAGGAAACCCAGGTCCTTCCCAGTATGGGGATGCAGGACTGATTGGGACAGGAGCAGAGTGGGCTTGACCCTCGGGCCATAGGTGATTTGCTCAAATGTCACCACATGGGGATGATGATGAAGTCACCCACAAACAGGAGGCCAGCCTTCCAGCTTGTCCACTGCACTCATCATCTCCTGATCATCATACTTCTCTCCTTAGCTCTTTGGCCACAGTTATACACTCAAGCCCTTGCTTTCAGTCTTGACCTTTTTTGATTTTTTTTTTTTTTAACTTTACAACATATTCAGTCCTGACAGGAATTGAAGGTCAGGAAATGGGCAGTGGTTGCTGGGTAGAGGACGTGCAATACATCTTGGCTTGGTTTTCCATGATCATCAGCTCCTTGGAAAGATTGCAAGTACTAATGACATTCCAAGCAGGTAGTTCCTGAAAGTGTATAGAAAACAGCCAAATTCTAGCAAGCCTTTGCCCTTTTATATTTAGGGCTTAGAGTATCATCTTTAAAAGAAATGATGCTGATCAGTCTTCCTCCTTGTTCCAACCACTGATTAGGATTCTTTTCTCCTTTCTGTTGTTCTCAGTGCCATGCAACTCTGTCCATTTGCCATTTATGCTGCTATCCAAACACCAAAGCAGACAATCTTTGATCTGCTGTGGCTCAAGGATCCACTTGAGCCCAATCAGCCAGACTCACCCAGTTTGCTATTTAGGGGAAGGCTTTGGGTGAAATGAACACCAAAGGTTCCCCTCAGTTTATAAAGCTTCAGAAGCAGCTTTCTGCCAAAAAGGGAAAGGAGATTCAATTTTCTGAAACAATTTATTCTATCCATGAAGCATCTGAGTGACTGAAGGTTGAATAACAACACCATGTGACCCTTTCAAAATATGATTCTTTTCAGAAAAACAATTCATGGATCTAAGGGATCTGGAATGGAAATATGTTAAGGGGCTTGCAAAATGGAAGTGCACTACTCCAGTTTCATTCGTGGACATAAAATACAACACTGAGAAGAGATTTGTAGAGAGCCAGACTATGCCTGGTTTTATTTCCCCTCTGCTAGTTCGTAAGTCTTTCGTCATTTATCCTCAGACCAGTTTTCTTAACTGGAACATATAGTTTATTAAAAATATCTTGGATATGGAGTTTTCTTTTGGGAGCATTGAAGCACAGAGAAAGCACCCAATACAATATATGAACTGCGTCTACATAGTATTCACGCAAAGCCCCAAATTAAAACATTAACATAGAGTATAAGATCCAAGTTGATCTGCTATTGTAAGACCTGTCCTAATGGTTTAGAATTGCAAAGAAAGTGTTGATCATATATTTTTGAAAAGGATGCATATGAATAACACCCAGGCAAGCAAGAATAAGCTCATTATAGGTTCAATCCCCAGAATCCTCCCCTCCCACAAAACATTTAAGCACACAAGGAGATCCATAATCATCAAAATAGTTGATTAACTCAACAAATTGAAGAATTAATGCCTGTGGATATAGAGATCAATCTGAGAACTTTACATAATATACTAACCCCTCAAAGGCTTAATGAAACAAGAACAAGAAGATTTGAAAAGGATGAATGGGAAATCTTGAAAGTAAAACATAAAGTCATTAAAGTAATAATAACCTTCAATAAATTATCCCAATGGCATAGTTTATATCTGAGGAGAGAGGACTGTTGATTGGAAGCTAGCACTGAAAAGCTTCTAGACGATAGCACAGTAAGACAGAGCAGGAAATTTTGAAAAAGTTGTAAATAATGAAGGGTACAAAGAAAAGTTTATAAATACATCCAGTAGAAGTTGTGGGAAAAAATAGGGAGACTGAAAAAGAGGGAATGTTTGCACTAGTATTAAACCTGAACATACATTAACATTTTATTGTACTTACTTCACTTATTTCTGTTGTTTTTGCTGTGTAAGTTGACATATTTTAAAGGAAGTCTTGACCCTCATGTCTTAGATGTTATCCTTATATATTTTGTGTGCACTTCAGAAAAATAAACATATTTTCTTTGGTAATCACAATACCATTATTTGCCTAAAAATGAGAGTTAATTCCTTGGTACCCTATCTGTAATTCATCTTATCAAAACTGTCTTTTTCTAGTTGGTTTGTATCAGGATCCAAACAAGGTCTAAAGACTATATTTGGTTGCTAGTTTTCTTTCTAATTTTTTTTGTAGTTGTAGATGGACAAAATGCCTTTATTTAAATTTTTATGTGGTGCTGAGGATCGAACCCAGTGCCTCATGCATGCTGGCAAGTGCTCTGCCGCTGAGCTACAGCCTCGGCCCTTGGTTGCTAGTTTTCTTAAGGATTTTTTAATCTATAGCAAGTCTTCATTTTTCCCCAATTAGCTTACAAAATAGGTCCATTGTGCTATAGAGATTTCCATCTTCTAGATTTGTATCTCCATGGTGTCATTTAACCTGCTCTTCTATCACATAGTTTTTTTTTTTTTTAAATCTCTCAATTTGTTTCTTGTAAATAGGCTTGATTAGATTCAAAGTCACCTCTTTTTTGGAAAGCATATTAGATAGTGCTGTGTATTTCACATTGCTTCATAGCACAAGGCAAAAAAAGGTCTGGCTGTCCCTGTCTTAGTGATTTTAAACAGCATTTAGGTGGTGACATCCTGCTGCCTCTATTTTATCAAATTCCTCCATTAACTTTTCATCCAATAGCTATGGTAGGCAATCTCTAAGAGACTCTCAGTGATTCCTGACTATTTACATCCTTGTGTAATCCTTTCCCCTTGAGCCTAGGCTGGACTCAAGACTTTTAAGAATAGAATGCAGAAGAGGTGATGGGGTTCCCCTTCAAGATTAAGTTGCAAAAACCTATGGATTCTGTCTTGAACACCCTCTCTTGCTCTCTTGCTCACTTACTAGCTGCAATCTTTTGAGATGCCCGTGTGGCAAGTAACTGTTGTCTCTGGCCAACAGCCAGCAAGGACCTGAGATCTGCTTCCAAGAATGAGCTTGGAAGCAAAACCTCTCCCTGACAAGCTTTGTGATGACCATAAAGCTGACACCTTGATTGTAGCCTGGAGAGACCCTGAGGCAGGGCACCTGGTAAGATTTGATACCCACAGAATGGTGCCATAGTACAGTTTTATTGTTTTGAGCCACTACATTTGGGGTAGCCTGTTATGTAGCCATGGGTGATTAATACCATGATATTTGCCTATCTCTTTTTCATTTGGAGTTACCACTGGTGATTTTCTAGTTCTATCATCAATTCTACATTTATAAGTTAGAAATCATATGTAAAACATTTCCCTCATCAATCAGGTCTATTTAATTGCACTAAAATGCAGTTGATGAGAAAGACAAATTAATTGCTTAAGTTTTTCCCATGAGTTGCCAATTTTTAGATTAAGGAGTTGATGTTCTCGTTACTTCCAAATATGGCCAAAGAAGTATTTCTCTCTTTTTCTCCTTTTAAATGAATTCACAGGTGTTTGTTGTTATGTAGGGATCCAAATCAATATAACTGCCCTCTTGCCTGCCCAGTGTCCCTGGACCCTCATCCCAAACCCTATAAGACAAACAAAGTCATTCAGATAATCAGTGGAGTGTTTTGTGGCCACTGATGCCCAGACTACTTCATAACTAATATTGAACAGGTTAAACATTTTTGAGAAAGGCCAACTACAATCCAGTTGACTGAGAACTACCTTTGTCTAGCTTAGCATATAAACTCCTTCCTCTTACCTTGGGGTGCATGGATCCTTCTGTCTTACTACAGCCCCAAATAAACTTCTGTCCATAAAAGTTCCCAATAAATTACATTTTTTGCTATCCTGGATCTGTGTGCCTCTTTGGTATCACAACCCCTTCCATATTTTGGCAACCAGTTCTCAAACACTGGAACCATCTTTTTCTGAAACATTTAAATTTCTAATACAATTCTAAGAAAAAAATAATATCCTGCAGAAAACCACAAGCTTGATGAATTATAACCAACCAAACATACCCAATAAATCACTACCCAGGTCACGAGATTAGAACATGTCCAGCTTTTGCCATCTTTTAGTTATTATTCCATCCCTTTTCTCCAAAGGTAACCAGTATTTACCTTAGATTAGTTCTGCTTATTTTTGTACTATTTTATACAAATGTAATCATACAGCATGGTTGCTTCCTATCTAGTTTCTTTTTAACATATGTTTGTAAGATTAATCTGTTTGTATGTAGCAGTAGTATTTATTTTCATCTCTGTGTGGTATTCAATTGTTTGAATATAACCTGATTTAGTTCCTATCCATTCTGCTATTGACGAACATTGGGGACACTTGCAATCTGGGGCTATTACAAGTAATCTTATTGTAATAACAGTGTAAGTGAAATGGGGTTTGATGCTAGAGAAGATTCACAGGACTCAAAGACCCATGTTTATGAATCTACAGTTCATTTCAGGAAAAGGATTCAATGTAGCAGAGAATCAAGGTAAGGATATGCAATCCAGACAACAGCAAAGGTTACAGACCCAGGATCCAGTTGTGCTGACTCTGTAGAGACCATACTGACACACCTTTTCTCTCTAATCAGGAACCAACATGTGCATAGAATCCTTTAGAATCAGGGGTCACAAAATGAAGTTCCAGATGTTGCTTTTTTCCAAGTTTGCTGGTGAGGTAGGCATATTGCTGAGCTGTAGCCAGCCTCAGGGAGTCTCAATAAACCAAATATGATCCATCAATATCATTGCTATTGATATGCCATGATTATAAAGTAACACTAGTAATTGGTAGGTTTTATGCCTTTATCAGGGGTCACTGTGATGCTAGTGCAGGTGAAGTGAATTCTAAGCCTACTGGAATAAGCCCTCAGAATACTCTTACTATGAACAGTTATGTTCATGTCTTTGTACAAACATGTGCATATTCCTCTTGTATATACCTAGGTGTGACATTGCTGGATTATATGATATGAATATATTCAGCTTCAGTTGATTCCAAATGTCTTTTTCCAAAGTGGTTGCACCAATTTACAGTTCTACCAGCAGAGTATTCCCATTGCCCTATGAGGTGATATTGTTGTTGCTTTAAATTGTAGTCACTCTTGTACTTGAAATAATGTTTCATTGTGTTTTATTAGAATTTTCCCACTTGCTAATGAGTTAAGCACTATTTCATTTGTTTATTGGCTACTTAGATATATTCTTATATAAGAGTGCTATTCAGGTGTCATGCATACTTTGCTATCATGTTGATCTTTTTTTCTTTATTGGTTTGTAGGAAATATTTATATATTTTAATGGTGGTTTGACTTATTTTCTTAATGGTTTCTTTTGATAAATTCCTAATCCGAACATAGTCTAGTTTATCAGTATTTTCCTTTATGGAAAATGCTTTGATTAATTTATTTAAGAAGCCTTTAATTATCTCAATATCATGAAGCTCTTTTCTTATGCTATCTTACCAAATCTTCATTGTTGTATTTTGTGTATAACAAAGGAAAGAGGTCAAGATTAATTTCTCCTTTTTGATAATCCAAAATATTTGTGGGGTACAACACAAAGATTTGCTTAGAGGGAAAATTGTAAAAATAATTGCATATATGAGAAAAGAAGAAAAGCTGAAAATCAGTGTTCATCTCGATAAGTTAGTAAAAGAAAATAATGTCAAATATTATTGTGATATATCCTTTGTATTTATGTAAAATTTAGAAGTGTATTCTTAGTTTCCAAATATATGAATTTTTAAATTATCCTTTTGTTATTGATTTCTAACTTAATCCCACTGTGCTCAGAGAACATGTTTTGTATTATTTGTTATAAAATGTTCATTACAATCTAGCATTTAGTTAATTTTGGCAAATGTTACATGTGTATTTGAATAGAATATACGCATATCACAATTGTCGGGCATAGAATTTTATTTATATCAGTATCATTATATTATTCAAATCTTCATTTTTTATCAGTTACTCAGAGAAAAAGAATGTCAAAATCTCCCAGCATATGACCTCATACACATACATATGGGCACATACATATGTAACATTACTTGCTTTCTGTTTTCCTTACAAGCTTTTCCTGCCTTTATTGACTACTTTGGGACTGTTTAAATGTTTTTTTGTTATTCTTTCTACCTTTTCTTTGTTCATTAATTTTACACTCTCTTTCTATTCCTTTAGTGGACATCCTAGATCTACAACAAATATCCTCAACTTATTAGAAACCCATATATATTAGTTCTTTTATCATATCTCAGACATTCTACTTAGAACCCTTCAACCCCACTTACCTCCATTCCAACGAATGCACCATTGTTTTCATGTATTTTAATTCTATAGAGGTAGACTGCCATGGTTTGAAGGTGGTTTTTCCATCAAAGGCTCACATGCTGGAGAGTGGTTCCCAGTATGGCAGTTTTAAGGAAGGAGAACCTTTAAGAGCTGCATC